AAACACAACAAAAGAGTAAAGTTGTCCATCTGTTTTCAGGTTAATGTTTGGTTTAGCAATTACAAAGCCACTGTATGTGATCAGTTATTCCGTGGTATTGACGATTTACTCAATTTGGAGGAACCATTTTTGCCCTTATACAGTACTATGCTTGATCATTATATTAGCACAAATAAGAATAAGAATTATTAATGCTAACACATAACAAGTAGCTTTACCCATCAACATGTGTGGCACAGCCAGGTAGAGTATCCATGGCCTGTTACCATCTGGCTCTGGATCAGGAAAAGAACTGGTTCTGAAACCCCAAGCAGTAACTTTGGTACTCTTCAAAAGTTTTAAGACACCGTAATTTTTCACATTGTTAAGCCTTATGCTAAAGGAAAAATAATAAATAAATGGATTGCCACCTCGTGTGTTGTATCCTTCCACACTCAGACCAGTTACAGTTTATTATCCCTGTTTATCCAGAATCATAGAAAATATGAACAATTTTGTGTGAAATTTTGTCATAATTGCTTTTGAATCTTTGAGTAATGGCTAAAAGTGTTTGTGAACTCACATTGTACTTGACTTTGACCACCCTAAATCAGTTTTATCCTTAAGTCAACAGTGGACATTTTAATGCTAAATGTAACGGCTTCCTTGAAGAATTATCGATATATTGCGTTCACAAAGACCAAAACTGTTGTTTTGTTAGGTCCCTGTGACCTTGACCACCAAAATCTAATCAGTTTGTCCCAGACTCCAAGTGAACATTGGTGCAAATATTTATTCATTATATCGGCCAATTTTACAGTGGAAAAACTCCAGGTTGTCCCGATTGTCAGTCCACCCTGGTTATGGTATCTAGTGATGGTCCAATCACCACAGGTGACTTGGATATAAATGATATAATGCAATGGAACACTCACTACTCTATTACATAAATGTCCTTAAATGCGAGTGCTCAAAGCATGACAGCAGCATTGCTTTGACTGACATTAAAAGCACATTTATGTTATTTATGCTTTAATGGCTTCACCACAAGGGATGCTTTCTGTGGTGGTCTGGTGCATACTGGATGCATATATAGTCATTGCCCAGCTGTTGATCATGTTGAATTAATTATCTGTGTCTATCAGCCTCCAATATCGTGTTATTCTCTAAATAATATCTTATTGCTCACGTGTTTACGACTAATACAGGACAAATAATATTGTAATCTCCTTTCTGAAAAGCGTAGATCTCTCTCGTGGGGGTTTGTCTTAGAGCTAAAAGTTGCGTGTTGCAGCATAATCGTTTATTATTGTTGCATCACACATTATCTGACTTAAAGGTAACTGATTCCCTTGAAGATAAAATCGTGTTTATAAAACCTTAAAGCCAAGGAGAGCTTGATTGGAGCTGGTGGATATTATCAACAATGAGCAGGGAGACACAAGTAAGGGAAGACAAGAGACTGAAACCAGACTCAATCACAGTAGGTAGAACCTCTAATCACAGTCAAACTACATAGTAATGTAATGTATGGCACATTCACTTGAATCTGCTTTCACCCTGACCATTCAGAGAAGGAGAGGGCCAAATCGCAGTTTATGATATTTTATTTTTTAATCTGGAAATATTTATAGAAGCTATTCATTTGTTTACTTTATTTTCATGTAATAAGTACATACTTCTGATCACAGTCAAACTGTGTAGTAATTTAATGTATAGCATATTCATTGGTATCTGCTTTCTTTAGGTTGATGGAAAACTACACCTACAACAGCTTCACACTCCAGTTGGAAGGGTTAAATGTCTCAGAGGATTATGTCTACACTGTGTTTCTTTTCATATTTCTCTCATACTTGTTTATAATTGTTGTGAATGGTGGCATTGTTGTTCTTGTTTTTCTGGACAAAAACCTTCACCAGCCTATGTATCTCCTGTATTGGAGCCTGTCAATCAATGACATACTTGGAAGCTCTATCATTTTGCCTCGTTTGCTTGTAGACATGTTGCATCCTCCCTCTGAACGTCTCATCAGTTATTATGAATGTGTGATCCAAGCTTTCACCATACATATGTGCGGTACCACTGTTCAGACAGTGCTCATGATTATGGCCTTTGACAGATATGTGGCCATCTGCAATCCCCTGCGTTACGCTGCCATAATGACCAACAAAATGTTGGTGAAGCTGACAGTTTCTGCCTGGGGAGTATCCTTTGTTCTGGTCGGGATTATGGTCGGTCTGACCATAAGACTGAACCGATGCAGGACTATGATCAAAGGCCTTTATTGTAGCAATGCTGCGCTGTTCAAACTCTCCTGTGAGAGTGTGTTCATTAATAATGTGTATGGCATCATCGTCACTGTATTCATGTTTACAGCTTCTATAGGCAGCATGGTTCTCACCTATACCAAGATTACAGTAGTCTGTCTGACCAGTAAGAACAAGTCTTTGAATAGTAAAGCCTTGAAGACCTGCAGCACTCATCTGGTTGTGTATCTGATTATGTTGTTCAGTGGAACATTAACGATTATTCTGCATCGCTTCCCACAGTACGCAGAGCACAGAAAAATTTCTAGCCTTTTGTTTCAAATCATCCCGAGTGGCCTCAACCCAATTATTTATGGTGCGCAGTCCAAAGAGATACGAAAATTCTTATCAAAATGGTTTGAGCCCCAGAAAGGTTTTCCAACGTTATAAAAAACATTTCAAAGTTAGTTTTCTTCATGTATCAAACTTAATAGTATCACATAAGGATGAAGAATGCCTCAGTATGTTGTTCATTGTGTTTTGCACAAGGAGTTAATGAGAGTCCTGCCATAGATAACGCCCTGAGGACCTGCGGCACTCATCTGGTTGTGTATCTGATTACATTTCTCAGTTGAATGCCTATCAATATTCTGCATTTCTTCCCAGAGTACAAATACAACACAAATTTTCTTGCTATTTTGTATCATAAACTACCTGCAACTTCATGTAAAACATTTATAGATGTCTCACTTTCAAGGCTGGGCGTGGGTTATGGGTTATTGAGTGTACATTGATGGGAAAAAAATTTCATCCATTTCAAATTAAACCTAAACCTACAAAATTGATCTGGTCTGAATTCTTTCTGCAGCCAGTGTATCTTCTGATGAGATTGTTGAGGAGAAATTCAAGACTGTAACAAGGAACTTCACACTAATTATTTTTACGCTGCACACATATTCACATAGGTTCTTGATGGCCTGTTACATTAAAACAAATGACAGACTACGCTTTACATGAAGGGGAGATACAATATATTCGTCCTGTATGTCAGTAAACACGTGAGCAATAAGATATTATTTAGAGACTAACACGATATTGAGGGCTGATAGACAGTGTATTAATTCAACCATGATCAACAGCTGGGCAATGACTATATATGCATCCAGTATGCACAGACCCACACACAGAAAGCATCCCTTGTGGTGAAGCCATTAAAGCATAAATAACATAAATGTGCTTTTAATGTCAGTCAAAGCAATGCTGCTGTCATGCTTTGAGACATCCAGAGATTAAGGACATTTATGTATATGAGGTAGTGGAGTGTCCATTGCATTATTCATTTATATCCAAGTCACCTGTGGTGATTGGACCATCACTAGATACCATAACCAAGGGTGGACTGACAATCGGGACAACCTGGAGTTTTTCCACTGTAAAATTGGGCCGATAAGTATAAAAATATTTGGCACCAATGTTCACTTGGAGTCTGGGACAAACTGATTAGATTTTGGTGGTCAAGGTCACAGGAACCTAACAAAACACAGTTTTGGTCTTGTGAACGCAATATATCGAGAATTCTTCAAGGAAGCCGTTACATTTAGCATTAAAATGTCCACTGTGACTTAAGGATAAACTGATTTAGGTGGTCAAAGGTCAAGTACAATGTGAGTTCACAAAACACTTTTAGCCATTACTCAAGACTTCATACAGCAATTATGACAAAATTTCACACAAATTGTTCATATTTTCTATGATTCTAGATAAACAGGGATATAAACTGTAACTGGTCTGAGTGGCGGAGGGATACAGCCATGAGGTGGCAATTCCATTTATTTATTTATTTTTAACTTTAGCATAAGGCTAAACAACATGTGAAAAAAATGACGGTGTCTTAAAACTTTTGAAGAGTACCAAAGTTACTGCCGGAAACGGGTGGATTGCCCACTCCGGGTCGGGGGGGAGGCTTTGCCTAAGGTGGAGGAGTTTAAGTATCTCTGGATCTTGTTCACGAGTGAGGGTAGGATGGAGTGGGAGATGGACAGGCGGATTGGGGCGACGTCAGCAGTGATGCGGACGCTGAATTGGT